GGAGTCTAATTAGCTCCTTTATTTCATCATCACGACCAAATATCTTTGCCTCAGTGGGGAACGAAGTGGTCTCGGGTCTGACTGATTTGTCAAACCGTAGAGTTGCTTGGTCTAAGCCCATTCTCTTGAGCAGCCTAGATTGATTATCTAGCCTCTCCTTGACGTGAGTCAATTTTTTTAAGTTACCTTGAATGACATCGTGAAAGAATTTACTTCTCGGTTCCACTTTGGTCGCACTGCCCTCAATTTTCAGCTTCTGCTCGTAGCATTGGAAATCCTCCAGAAGGTCTTCTGCATCATACATGGAAGCCTTAAGTTCTGGAAGGAGCTTTGCCACACACTTCTCATGGCTTCTCCAGTCTTCTCGATCAATAAAGTTGTATATTACAGGTAGAGTATCCCGGAGGCATTGTAGAGAACTTTGCAACTTCAGTACATCATCTTCTTTAAGTTCTTGATTTTCTACTGCATTCGAACGAGATCCCAAAGATTTAAAGTGACACACTCATTGAAGACAGTAATGGCCTCGACGACCGGTTGTATGTTGCTTATGTTCATACTGACTTGACTCTGAAGATTTTTGTAGCCCTCTGTGCTGGATAAATAGTAGATTTACTGAACATTAGAAAGCGACATCTTGTGGTCATATTTGAATGCTAATCAAATGTATAGTTATATGAGAAGCAAGTTGATGAAGCAAATATTCTTTTAATAGAAACAGAGCACCCATCATTAAGTCAAAGTTTAGATGGGTACTACCTCACTGAGTTGGCAAGGGATAATGAACATGAAGAACAAAATTTGAACCTGTCACTGAAATGCTTACAGTAGAGATCTTACTTCACAAGATGTTCATATAGTGTAATGGGAAATGATGGAACTACTGTAAACGAACAAAACAAATTAGTGGATGTGAAAATCAGCTTATGTTTTACCCTGTTTTTTTTTTATTTTTTACAGATAGATCAGAGTATTGTTAAAAGTGAAACATGCATAATACACCAGATATTTGGTGATACCAGATACTTGGTGATGTCTTGTTGGATTACCTTTTTATCACCAGATCTAATCAGTATATCGCCCTCCTTCCTGTCTTTTGCCATCATCAATCGTGTGCACATTCCAGAGCAGAGATGGTTGTTTACATTAGGGCCAATCTAGTGCATACGGACAAGTAATCATTCACCTGTCAGTTTGTTAGTTCAAAAAAAAAAACAAGTTGCTAGGGAATACGAAAGGAAGGTTAAAATGCGGAACTTATAGTCATCAGCTTACAGGAAGGTTGAAATCAGATTGCAGAGCAGATTGGTTGGCCTTGATTATAACTGAAGCACTCTTCAGGCTCAGAAACAGCTATCTGACGGATGTAAGCACCGATGCATCTGCTCTTCATACATACAAATACAAGGAGAAAGTAGAAGACGACGGAATGCCGACGGTGCTCTCGAGGCCGCCATGCTGCCCGCGATGCTACCAATGTCAGCTCAGACATAGTGCCGCTGGCATGTGTATATAAACAGCAACTTGTCAATCCAATTGGTCCATATATAAATGAGAAAAATAGATATTTGTCATTAGGTCCAGCACCGGACGTCTAAGCTGACATTGGTATCGTCGCGGACCAGATAGTCCTCATGGTTGGATGAGCTGAGGACAAATTTTTTGCTAGCTAGCAATTAACTCTCGTATCTAAACGGACCCTATGTACAGGCTAATGCATTGTCCTTGAAATTTTTTAATAAAGTCTTTCATTATAGAAAAAAGCATCGCGAGCAGCAGCATGGAGGCTGCTTGTATCCCTAATTGCCATCCTAAAGAGTGGGTTTCGCAAAATTATTATCTTGAGCTTCCCAAAATTGTCATGCAGAATATGTGCACCTTGATTTGGATGACATATCGTTTCTTTTTCTCCTTTTTCTTTTTTTTTTCTCCTAAAATCACCTACGCAAAAGAATGAAATTGCCTAGGTGTAGATGTTCTGCATGACAATTTTGTGAACGCCACAATAAGAAAGGCGTTTTTGTGAAACCTACACTAAAAATGTTTTGGATGACAATTTTGTGAATCACCTACGCTAAAATGTATAAAATTCTTTAAACAAAAAATTACATAAACATTTTCATGTGGTATTAATATAATTTAAAGTGAATTGTCAGTGTCACTAATATTTATATATAGTTTGTTCAGGGAATATTTTCTACACTTGGTAAACTAATAAAATAAATGTTTACCCTAATAATGTATAAATGTTTACTTTGTCTACATGGTAGAATGTAGCATTCTGCCTACTTTTAACATAACAATTGTAGAAGTGTGTAACTTTGAAATATATATAGCATACTTTATGGCTATTAAATTGTTTTTGCAATACCTTATAAGTACTTGCTCATACTTTCTTTGGAGACATTTTGTTTATTTCTATAATGGTGAAGTGGATAATTTAGACACAAGTTTAATGTTACTTTTATGATGATATATGTGGGTAATTTGAATGCAAACTTAGGGACTACTTTGCATTATCATTCATAATGGCTGAGGTGGATAATTTGTATGAAAAAATAGGAGGTTATTTTAAATTATTTTTTATAATGATAGAGAAGGGTAATTTAGAGATAAATTTGGGGTTTATTTTGAATTATATTTTATAGCTTACACAGGTGGGTAATTTAGATGCCAATCTATAGGTTTACTATATGGATATTTTTATGGAACAAAAGGGATCTAATAGCTATTATTGGCGATGATGATTAGAGTTTATCAAATTAAAGGCCAACTGTTTCTGACTGTTAGGAAATTTTATGATGATTTTTTTCCTACTATCCCGTGATAATTATATTAAGCCTCTAACTAGTAACAATAATAGTAAGATACTACTAATGTTCATTTCTTTGAGAATGAAAATTAGTAGAGAGCTGGACTTGGAAATAAATCGATAGAACTTAGTAAGATATGAAAATATAAGCCGCAACCAACTTATTTTATCTTATTATTGTAGATCATTGCTCAACAATCGACCATTACATTGCACTGACATAACTCTTCCACTTTGCAATGGTTGCTTCTATATATCTGGTTTTTCTTTCCCAACAACAATGCCTCACGAAATCACATGCTACTAGAAGCTTAGATGCTTGAGGATTCACCATATATGATTGTCACGGAAGAAGATATTCAGATTTGTCAGTGTTGTCCCCTGCTTCAGCTACTAAGTAGCAGTCTAGTAGTACGTGATAATTATACACAGTTTCAACCACAAAGTGTATACAGTCGAATTAAAATAGTATTACGTTCGTTAATATCCTAATGAAGCATTTACTCTAGTACTATAGACAGAAGAGAATTATATAGAATGTATTATGCTAGTTAGAATATCTAGAATTTATCTTTTTCCTTCTAGCCTAATATGCATTTGTTGAAACTTGAATTTAAGTTATATAAGCTCTTGTTGCATATATTTTCTTGACATCGTGAATCTATATTAGTCGTTGTAATATTTTTATCTTGTGTTACATTAAAAACTCTAGTGCTCATTGTATATTTTATCCAAAGCTTTATTATTTTTATTTTATTAAGAATGGCATAAATAGTCGCTTCAACATGCAACACAACATTCAAGATGTTCATTTGTATTTGTAGTATATCAAATAATTGTGTGTGTAGTAGTATAAAATAGAGTGCTTCAAATTAAATTAGCAGTATTGATATGGGATAATGTTTTAGTAAAAATGTACATAAATCTTTTCATGGGGTATTAATATAATTTAAAGTGAATATTAATGTCACTAATATTGATATATAGTTTGGGAAATATTTTTCTACACTTGGCACACTTGGTCTACATGGTGAAGCGTAGCATTTTTTTCCCCTAATTTTAACGTAACAATGGTAGACGTGTGTAAATTTAGAAATGTATATAGCATACTTTATGGCTATTAAATTGTTTATTTTCCATAGGAGCTTATAAGTATTTACTCAGAGTGTTTGGAGATTTTTTTGTTTATTTTTTATAATGAAGAAGGTGGGTAATTTAGATACAAGTTTAAAATGTTACTTTTATAATGATATATGTGGGTAATTTGGATGCAAACTTAGGGACTAGTTTGCATTATCATTCATAACGGCTGAGGTGGATAATTTATGTGAAAATAGGGGTTATTTTAAATTATCTTTCATAATAATAGAGGTGGGTAATTTAGAGAAAAAATAGGGTTTATTTGAATTATATTTTATAGTGACAGAGATGGGTAATTTAGATACCAATTTAGAGGTTTACTATATGAATATTTTTATGAAACATAAGAGATCCAATGCTATTATTGGCTATGATGGTTAGCGTCTATCAAATTAACGGCCAACTGTTTATGACTATTATGAGAATTTTTATGATTTGTCTTTTGTACTAGGGTATCCCGTGATAATTATATTAAGCCTCTAATTAGTAACAATAAAATAAGATACTACTATGTTTATTTCTTTGAGAATGAAAATTAGTAGAGAACTGGACATGAAAAATAAATCGACAGAACTGAGTAAGATATGAAAATATAAGCAGGAATCAACTTGTTTTATCTTATTATTGTAGATCGTTGCTCAACAATCGACCATTACATTGCACTGACATAACTCTTCCACTTTGCCATGGTTGCTTCTATATATCGTCTTTTCCTTCCCAACAACAATGCCTCACGAAATCACATGCTACTAGAAGCTTAGATGCTTGAGGATGAACCATATATATGATTGCCACGGAAGAAGATATTCAGATTTCTCAGTATTGTCACCTGCTTTCAGCCACCAGTAGTCTAGTAGTCCGTGATAATTACACAGTTTCAACCAGAAAGCGTATATATATCGTCCAATTAAAATAGTGTTACATTCGTTAATATGCTAATGATGCATTTACTCTAGTACTATAGACAGAAGAATGTATTATGCTATAAAGGTGCCCAGCAGAACACCAGACTGCACGAAGAAGTCCAGCACGTTCCACCAAACACTTGTCAAGTGTGCTTGTTCTTGTATGGGTTCCAGTTCTCGATGCAATCATCAACACAAGCTGCTGCAGTTATAGCACCGGAATCAGCTGTCCCTGCCAACTCAAAATGGAGCAATTTTAGGAGCATAATGCATGTCTCTACAACAACGAATACAAAATTGCCATGTTTGCATGCATGAATCATGGTTGCTGTAGTAAGCAAGCCCCTTCGTACTTACCGTCAGTGGTCTGGGCAACGCCGCAGATGGAGGTGGTCAAGCAGATCTCGGAGCAACCGGCATCAGTACCTACCATGGCGCCTTGCACCTCGTCGGAGACGACGGCAGCACAGGTCTCCACACACTTGAGTGTGCAGAACCACCCAGGGTGGCGGTGGCCCTCCCTGCAGTCATGGCAGCAGTCGCCGAAGCACCCGCAGAGCCCTGTGAACCCGGCCACCTGATGCTTCTGGCCTGACACTGACAGCATGATGAGCATACAGTAGCAGTACAGCGCAGCAGCTGCAGTTCTCTTCCCTTCCATCCTTGTCTCCTCCCTCTCCCTGCAGTAACAGTTCAAAAGGAGGACCATTCATGCAAGTGTTGCAGAGACGAGTGCAGATGAAAGCAAATGCAGGGGGAGTTGAAGTAGTGATGTATGCTTACCTTACCAGCGACCGTTTCTTCAGATGCTGGACTTGAGAGGGTTCTGTGATATGTCTACTGCTCACTTGGTGTGGTGGCATTCAGATCATGTCGTCCATTTATAAGTACAAATATCGCTGGAGCCAAGGCTTGGAGAGTCTTGCAGGTGTACATTCTTGCAGAAGCTTCCAAGAGGTTGCTATACACAGTCAGAGAAATGACATGCTCGCTCTGCCAGACAAAGAATCTCCGGTTTCTGTTTTATTACAAATAGACATGGAGGAGTACCAAACAAGCATGCCAGATTCAGGCTAATTTCAGCTTCTGAAGCAAGATTAACATTTGTGGTTGTTGGCCGCATGCATTTCGCTGTGTTCAGAAACAAGAATATGGTGGCACTGACACCAGCGAACATGCAAATGTCCAATAAAAAAAGGATTATTATTCCAAGTGCCAATCCAGGAAAAGCTAGGCGACGACAATGTCTCCACACATTATCGGAAACATGCATTTTGTTGGAAACACACCGAAGGACATTGGTGGCTTAAGTGTCTGAACCCATGAATATGTTGCAACACTCTGATCTGAGTCATTTCAGATGTTCAGTTGTGGAGCCAGTCTGAAAGAGGAGAATTGACACACAAGTATGCCAGCTTCAGAAAATATAATTTAGCAATTGTGCAACGAAACAAATATGCACTTGTGAGGCAGCGAAAATATAATTTCACTATGTGTCTATTTTCAGAAACCAAAAGCCTGCTTTGAATAAAGGAAGTCTGGAAGACTTTTGGTGTCACAAAACAGAGCAATGTTTTCTCCTTTTTTTTTTTTTTCGAATACGCACGAGTGTGCATATCATTGTATTAGAAGAAAGAGTTTATAGTACAAGAGTTTCATTCCCGGCCGTTAGTTAGTTTCCTGCGGACGCTACATTATGGAAAAAAACAACCACCGTAATCCATGTCTATCCTGACAAGGACCTAGCCCTGCGCTAGCGCACGTAGCCCGCTTGTTCGGCCTGAATCCATCGGTCGGCTTCGTTCTTGATGATGTGCAGTAGGTCGCCGACGGACGATGTCGCTTCCGGAAACATCTTTTATGCCCGCCTTCCATAGTTGCCGTGAGACGAGGGCGAAGAGGGAGTCCATACCGTTCGCCGATCGCCGTGCACATCGACCGCAATCGGCGCCACCAGAGAGCGTCGCTTGGGAGATCGGTGGAACTTGCTGCCCAAGCGCTTGCAGTGACATAGTACCATACCTCACGGGTGAACGGGCATACCGCAATGATGTGGTCTATTGTTTCGCCCTTGGTCACAGAGGTAGCATAACTCATGTGCCTCGAGACCATGTCTCGCCTTCTTCATCGCCGCGGTCCAAAGGTTTTCTTTTTCATGGCAAGCCAAATAAAGATCTTGATGCGAAGCGGAGCCCACGTTTTCGAGATCAATGTATGGCCCGACATTCTGATGGATCCGATGTGTGCATCATGTCATATGCCGATTTGGTGTGTAGCATCCGTCTCGTCGTCCCGCCGCCAAATGGTCCTCGCTGTGCTCATTGTTAAGATGGATGTCCCCAACGCTTGCCAGAGATGTAGGTAATCCGTGAGCTCGAGTAATCGAGAGGCCTCCACTTATGCAGCGCACCCATGTGCTGTCCCGGAGGCCTTGTCTCGACCGTTAGCGTCGGCCGCACCCGCCGTGAAATTCTCCGGTGCGGTATGGGGCGATAGTGGCGACGCCCTCCCTGCCGATCCACCGGTCTTCCCGAACAAAGCGTTTCGCCTGGCCGCCTAGCCTGGTGAAGGTTGACGCCTCGAAGAAGGCTTGACCTCCTTGGAGGTCCGGATCGGCAGTTGGTTCCACGCCCGATCTTGATCGGTTCTCTGCAGCAGCCACAGCCAAGGCGTTTGTAGGGCTTAAGCCGGCTAGCTTCAGATCACTGATCCCAAGTCCACCGAGCTCCTTCGGCCTGCAGCAGGCTTTCCACGCAACCATGCACTTTCCTCTGACTGACTGGTCCTTCCCGGCCCAAAAGAATCGCCTGCAGATGCCGTCGATCTCTTTCCTTGCCCAAGTGGGAAGATTTTCTGTCATCATGGCGTAGATGGGAACCGCCCGTAGGACCGACTTTACCCAGACTAACCTTCCACTTTTCTCCTTTATTCAATCAACAAATATATAGCGAAAACAAACGAGGTCCTAGGTTCGCGTTATGACCGTACGTGTGCCATTCCACACGTACGGACGAGGCATGCATGCATGGCACCAGAGGCACACATACTGGCGCGCCGCCAACTCTGGCGTTGTGCGCCATCTTCAAGTTGGCACCGCGCGACTCGGACTCAGGGACACTGCAGCCACAACGCGAACGCAGCGCATTGGCCACCTACTGACAAATGTGTGCACGCCACGGTCTACCACGACAACACGGAGACAGTGGCCAGCAGTACACACTGGAACAACGGAAAGATGATAAAGGAAACGTTGTGCACTGGCCGGATCAATATAGCCAAACAAACAACAAAACGGACGTACAGTACTCCTACATAAGAGTGTGATCATGGAGGCCGGGGCCCGGTAGCTCCATGCATGGCTTTACCCGCCTGTCCCCGGACCGGAGGCTGCAAATAAAGCCGTCATTTCACCTGTCATCATCAAGTAGAGAACGTTGGTCAGCAAAAGGATTACTCTCCAAAACTGAAAATGTAAATGGAACTGCAAGCAGCTGGCCTGGGCATTCAGAGTAACTGGAGATAAAAAAAAATTAAATAATTAACACGATTAGGATTGCATAACTGGCTAGTAAGATATAATCTAATATAACACACGAAGACAGGATACATACACATACAGAGGTCCAATCCTTAAGTGTCTTAACACTACTTTTGGATCATAGTTTATACCGCAGGAAGTCCCATACCTACTACCATCCACAGCCTGTCTTCAGGGGCTGCTGTACTTCCTTCAACTTTGGACAGCCTTCAATGAACACATATGTGTGTGCAGTCGCTTCTGGTCCACCAATTGATACAAGGTCTTCACAGTTTATAATAGATAATTTCAGGAGTGATTTGAGATTACTGCTCCACAGCTCGCGTGGAATGTACTCTATGTGTTTGCATGTATTCATCACCAGTAATTCAAGGGATGTGAGGTTCTCTAGGCACCTCACAGAAAAAATAACCAGAGTCATATAAGTGGAGACTTTGGAGCGATGATGGTAACACTATTCCATTTTCCCATTTGAGACGTGGACACCTGCACACCTCCAGTTCTTCAAGGGAAGGCCAACCCCCATTAAGAGTCTCTAGCTCTCCGCAGTCTCGAATGATTAGTTCAGTGAGCAGCGGGACCTTCTCTCTATTGAGTGTCAGAGATGCCACATGGTAGCTTGATAAAAAGAAGGTGGCTAGGGAAGGACATTCAATATCGTCTCCAAGATTCCCAGAATCTTCCAAAGAAAGCCTCTTTAGGGACGGTGCCAGTAGGCGTTGTGAGTTGATCTTTGGGCTCGTTTAGTTCGGCCACCGAATCGGCGCCGCCGAAATTCCGGCTACAGTACCATTTTGTTTTTATTTGGTAATAAATGTCCAATTTTTAACTAATTAGGCTTAAAACGTTCGTCTCGCAAAGTACAACCAAACTGTGCAATTAGTTTTTAATTTCGTCAACATTTAGTACTCCATGCATGTACCGCAAATTTGATGTGACGGGGAATCTTCTTTTTGCATAGTGTCAAATTCTGGATTTGGGAGGAACTAAACGTGGCCTTTGCACAATTGCCCACCTCCAGTTCTTCAAGGGAACGGCAATCAATATCGTCTCCAAGATTGCCAGCATGTACCAAAACCAGCTTCTTTAGGGACGGGGCCAACAGACGTTGTGAGTAGATCTTTGGACAATTGCGCACCTCTAGTTCTTCAAGGGAAGGCAAACCACCAAACCGTTCTACTGGTACATATACCAAACTTGTGCAATCTTTAATCAACATTTTCTTGATGGCAGGCATATAAGCTGGCTGTAGAAACTGTTCAAGGCTTGATAACCTCGGGCAGTCTATAACCCTTAGCTCTGTTAGTGATGAGAAAATGGCAGGGACATCAAAACCATGAAACCAGCTTGGAAGATATTCACCTGGATAACATCTGAGGCACAGAAATTTGATATTGGTGGGAGGGTGTAATGCTTCAAACACTTCTATCTCTTAGACCAATCTAGAGTCAGATTAAAAGTAACCTTCTTCTTCATAAGTTCAATTTTTGCCGCCCGATCCTTGCTTATTTCACAGAGGTTACATAAATGCAAATCTCCAGTGATCAGATTAAAATTATTTAGCAACCCAGCATCCATCTTAAGAACTTGCAATTCAAACTTTTGTAGATTGATCAGATTACTAAAGCCTCTGGGTATTACTTTGATTATACATTTCCTAGCTAATAATAGTTGTAGATTATAGAGGTGACAGAATGCTGCAGGAAGGCTATTGAAAAGGCAAGCGTCAGAGATTTTAAGGTACCGAAGATTCCTCATGTTGCTAAAACTATCTGGCATAGAGATAGAGGCACAGACCATGACGCGCATGCACAAAAGTTCAGCACACCATTTCTCCAAAACAGTATTGCTAGCTTTACTGTTTAAAGATTTCTCCGGGGCAGGGGCAAGATGGCGTGCTGTGATTTGGGGGCTTGGGGCGTATGGGCCATCTGGCCGGCCAGGGCCCATCAGTTAGCCTTAGGCGGGCCTTTAGCCAGGGCAAGCAGAGCACATCAAGCCTAACGTCAAGTGTGTGTGTCGGTGTGTGGTATTCTTTCTCGTCTGACGTCAAGTTCTTTGCAATTGCAAATATTGATCTGTAACGTGCTGTCTGATTTAGGCAACTGTAGCACGAGATCTTG